AAAAAAAAGATTGAAATGTTCCATATGATGTTCGCGTCACACTTTTGAGGAACTGAGATATCAAGAAGATATATTCAAGAAAAAAATGCAATTACCTGAATAAGTGCTGATGGCTGATCAGCTCTAGGTATGTCAATCTCGCCACTTTTTGACTTATTTTTGGTGAATCGCAATATTTGTAAAGATGTTGGATGAGTCGGAGTTGTAGTCTTCTCGCCCTGAAATGGTGGTAATTTGAGCTGACATTTCCCACAAATTTATCTTTTTACTTCCTCTAGTTCCAAGCAAGAAAGCAGAAAACATAGCTTTCCTACTCATGAATGGTTCTGCGCTGAGTCATTCTGATTCATGGTGACCAAAACGGAAAAATTAGCGCCGCAATATGAAAGCGCGTGATACGTCAGCGTAAGCGCTTCAAAAGAAAAAATGGATTCAGGTTAAAGAATTACGTAACTCACATCGATAGTGAATAACTGAACGCCGTCGGGTATTGAAAAGATCACATCGGCTTCAGCATCTCCCACTTTCTCTAAGTGTTCGCGAAGCTCTACTTTTACCTAGAACAAAATAAGCAATGACAGATAAACAAACAAACTGGTAATAAACAAAACAATTTATATAGTGAGCGAGTGGTAAACATGTAAAAAAATAAGACTCACTTCATCATATTCTTTCTGCCTCAGCATTTCCTTCTCCTTCGAAGGGCCAGCCTCAGCAATCTCCTTCTCCAACACTTGCACTCTAAAAACAAATGTAAATGTAAGGCAATGAAACATATTTGATGATTGCTGCCAATAAAGCTCGATGGAATCAAAATGATGACCCATCGTCAAAGATCAACTTGTGAAGTGTGTTCTATGATGCATCATGATCGAACGTGAATTGATCGCATACTCCGCTATAACAAGAGAGCCGCATAGAAAAAATGCGGGTAAATTTACATATTGCCAAATAAGGTCATAAAGACATCAAACATGCCTCATGCTCTTGAAAAATTCAAGGGTTTTCCCTACTGCTTCAGCTAGACCCGTAGAAAAATTGTTCAAGGAAA